GGCCGCCGCCCCCGTCCTCGCCGTCCACCGCGTTGCCCGCCGCCTCCGCCTCCGCCGCCGTCGCCGCCCCCAGCGCCGCCAGCAGCACCAGCGCAGCCGCCACCGCCCGCCAGGGGGAGCTGCTAGGCGATCTCTGCATCTGAGAACACGGAAGTGAAAAGACGTTATTGGAGAGCCGGTATTATTGGACATAATACTCAAGAGGTGTTCCAAATGTTGCAGCATTTTAATGATCTGTGTGAAATGAATTAGTTTTCTCATTTTGTGAAATGCATTAGTGTGTTACGCAACTAGTTTATAATGCTAAGCTTTGTTGCATCAGTACATGTTTTGAAAACGAGTGACATCAGAATCGTATTACATTTAAGCAATATTATAGACATGTTTTATTGGTTAGTTTTGAATGACAGCGTTATAAATATTAATAAGAAAATCAAAAATATTTTTTGGGAACGACTTTGTGATGTCGCGAGAATTCGACACCGGGAAAAATGTTTATCGGCTGTTGCGTTTATCGCTACTCACTTTCTCCCGCTGTGATTGGCTGAATTTGTCATGATGCAGTTATTCGAGTTATACATGGAGTTAACCACATTACAACTGAACAAGTTCACCATATTCAATTTACGTAGCAACATCTCCAAAAATGATCAATAAAATCTTTAGATTTTAGGGAAAATAAAGAGTAGCTTTTACGAAATGTATAGACAGTGGCTTTTCCTTTATTTTGAAGATTAAGTGTACCAAATGTTATTAATTTCGTAATAGAACCATAGGTTTGTATTAAAAACTATGTATTAGAATTGAACTATGTATGCGAATCTGAGAAAATAATGATCTTCAAAAAATGTATCCTTAATCAATATTCTGCATTTCAGAAAAACAATAAAGTAGATTCTACCATCCCTAAGATTTTTTCGGTCAAACAGGAAGACTCTATTTTGTTGTTGTTGTTGTTGTTGTTGTTTTTTATTGACACTAAGGAATAATATTAAAGAGAATATTTAAGCAATGTAGATCATCACAATAAACTACAATAAACAGAATGGTCAAAAAATGTAAAAACAAGGGAAAGTGTGGGTGACGTAATCGAAAAAAGTTTAATGTTCTTTATTAGATGGATTCTAAACTATTTTCTGCATTGTTTAATGACTCACTGTAATTCTACTATTAATATGGTACTTCTCCAGCTGATTCATGATTGAACTTGACAACAAATGTTTCTCAATGTTTTTGTGACAAACTTGATCATTCTTTTAAACAAAACTATGGAAATAATCAGACGAGAAAATCTTTTTTATTTGAGCAAAATAAATAAAAACTTGTAAACGTATATTTTCTACATGGAAAATGTGATGATCTATTATTTTTGTCATAATGTGCGAGAAAAAACAATGAACTACGATTTTGTTCCCTATGAAAACCAGATGAAAATCGGTTAGTCCATTACTGAAGTACACCTTGGAAGTGAAGTACAATAAGCCAAGCTTGTATCTCCCTGCTCATGAAATCGAGAAAAGGAAAGGGTACGTAAATTGTGTTGTTGTGCATGCACTGAAAGAACAAAAGACGTGCTACAGTTTCTTCTGGAAACAATTGAGAAGAATGAATAACTTTTTATACCAGACAATAGACACAGGAAGAACAATGAGAGAAATTCATCTTTTCTTCCGTATGAAAATGACTGAGAGGAATGCATGCGTTTAATATCTCGTTCAGACAATGGTGGAGAAGAACAATACACGGATTAAATACCTTCATGACAATAAATAAAAATAAATGGGGAAATGACAATTCTAAGGTGTTTCAAGTGTTTTTTTACAGGCGTTCTTATTTCTTCAATGTATAAATGTATCTAAAAAAGATATACTTTACTTCTAAGCTTCAAATAATACTTTTAAATACAGGTAATTAAGAAAATGAACCGCTAATTGATTGATTACTCTGCACATTCAACTCGCATTAAGTAAATTAGGAAACAATGTGGAGTAAATTTTGATAAATGTTCGGATATTCGTAAACTCAACTTTTCGCTATGTGAATATGTTCCTAAACATAATCTTAGCACACGCAAGTAACTATATTAATTTATATTTACTAATATCTGGACATATATGTTGTAGTGAATTGTAGCAGAAAATAATATCTACTTCAATTGAAAAACGCAATTCACCACAAATTTAATCACTGATTTTTTTTCAAAAGGGACACATGTTTTACACGTTACACACACACAAGACATTGTGCTTATATACACTCACTCATCTTTGCATTTATAATCACTCAAATATTCGAACTTAAACTCTTTTCTTCCTTAACATTAACTCACACTCACACACGCTTGCTAGACGAACATCATCTGCTTTCAACAGATCGATTGCAACTCACTCAACCTAACATTATAAATAACGGCGAATAATTGATTCGATTTATTTTAAAGTATTGTTAAAATTAAGTGTTTTCTGTAAATAGATTAATAATAGTAAGCAATAACATATCTGACGCGTATTGCCTTTCATTTAAAGTAAGATTAGCGAAATTTGATTGAGTAGAAAGCTCAAATTCCCTTCTAAACAAAATCTCTTAAAGCTGTAATTTTAAAGATTATTTGTAATTAAAATGTGATTGTATATTAATATTAAAATTCTCACTGAGAAGTATCACAAAATCACAAAAATAGCACATAGGGATAACAAACAACACGATATTTCGAAACTCTACAACCCTAGTCTGGAAATATTTCAGATTTCATTGTTCACTTTTGTATTCACTTACTCGTGATCATTTTATCCGCCTACTGGACTTCTATTGTTAACTCAGTTATACGGATGTAACTAATTTTTTAACATTCATATTTATTTATAAAATTAATACGTATGTCGTTTTATTCTATTTTTGGATAACACCACTTTTTGGAATCCACATGGACTTTGAGAGAGATAATCGATGGTACGAAAACCAGCACATGAAATAGCTATTGTACAAATGTAAGATCAAGAATGAAGCTCACGTACAACTAACAGAGAATACAAACATGTTTACGTGTGTCCCCCACTCGGACACATACGTCGGTGTACATCTCCCACAGCAGATGGCTTTAACCGTTACATACGAGTACAACTAAATAAAAAACTATTAAAGGCAGGATTTTGTCAGGGCCGACAATTATTATACGAAGGACTGCATATTCTAAAACACTTCCATATCGAATTCCATGTACGAAAAAATATTTGAAATATTTATTAATTGTTAATAAATATATGTTTAATAATACTAAGAATTTTTATTTTAAAAATATTTAAAAAAGAAATTACTTAAGAAAAACGAGCATCAATAAAATTAAAATACCTCTCAATACCTTTTCGACACGATTTAAACATATCTTTATTTACTGTATAATACCCCAAAGATACCCCATTTTTACGCTTTGTAAAAATCCATCGTCACAAAACTCCATAAATTTGATACAAGAGTACAGGGAATTGTCGCTCAGAAGTACAGCAAACAGGTATAGTAAAGGCTTTCGTTTTGATATAAAGAGATTTTAAAAAATCTCTTTCGCCTTTCACCGTTCTCCTCTCCCGCGTGTTTGATCTTGTGTAACTTGGAAAATTTGCCCTTAAAACCAGTTTAACCCGTAAAATTAGTTTTTGATGTACTCGAGTGTTCTTTTGGCCCTAATCGACATAATGAAACTTTTATGTACATTTTATTACACTTGGAGGGATTTGCATTTCCTTGCGCACCATATATTCCCAACCTTTTTTGTTCTTCCACCCCTTTTAACAGAATTACATCAGACTTTACTTAGGCCTTTAATTAAAGAAAGAATATTAACATACAATCACTGCTTTATATCAATACATAAATTACATGTGATACATAAAAGCAGCAAAGTTTCGGAAATTAATTATTTCCATCGTCGAGCTTAATGGCAAAAAGAAATAATTAATATACTGTTAATAAAGCAGTCATTTTATGTTTATATTCTGTGTTTAAATTACAGTCCAAAGTACAGTCTGACTAATTTGGAAAAAAACACAGAGAGAAAAATAGTAATCTTAATTTTAAAATAATTGTCGGTGTATCCTCTGATAACCTTAATATCTTTGTTCTTTTGGAGTTACAAAATATTGAACTTTTCTTTCCTTGCCATGTCATTTCTCTAACTCATATTGCAGAAAGCATTTTATTCCGTGATAGAGTATCGAAGAAGACCGAATTCCTGTTTTTATAATTATACAGTGTCTGGGAAGGAAACGTGGAAACTTCGAAAATGAGCTCCTAAAAAATTTAAGCATATATTGTCTCATAAACCACGTGGATATTCCTAATGGTTGAGCCGTAATAAGCACTCCAATGTTGATTTGAAAAAATGCATTCTGGGCAAAACTGTGCATCGCAAAAGCATAAAAACACTCCAGAAGCATGTCATTTTTTATTATTTTTAAAAGAAATATATTTATTCAGAAAGTACAATTTACTTA